GGCTTTCTCCCCTTCGTCGGCCAGAGAGTTCACCCACGCTCGCTTGTCCCGTCTGCAAGAGCGCTTGACTTCCTTCTCTAGAGCCGAGTACCGTTGACGGGCTTCGTTCTTGGCTCCTCTGGTTCTCGCCCGCTCTATCGCGGCTTTTGCTTCTCTACGCTCCTAAATCTTCCGCCAGGTTTCATCTGTGATCCACTCTTTCCTCTGGGTGCGCAGCTCACCCAAGTTGTTCTCGCTTGTTTCTATAAAGGCATTCTTGATGGCCGTCCATTGTTCTTCTACGCTGCCACCTTCTGGAACGTCCGCAGCTCGAGTCTGAAGTTCATGAACAAAAGACCTTTTTACCGCTGGATCTTCAAGTCGGCGTGTGTTGAACCGCCGCCCGAGTCTCTCCTCCCGTCGCTGGATCCGCGCCATGCGTAGGCGGATTTCACCGATTAGAAGGTGATGGTCAGACGCGATGTCGGCACTGCGTTTATTCCGGACATCAAGAAGGCTCCGTCTCCATTTTCGGGTGATGCAGATGTGGTCGATCTGATTCTCGGTATGTCCATCACGGGAAACCCACGTGACTTTGTGCACTGGCCGATGGGGGAAGAGCGAGCCCCCGATCACCATGTCGTTATTGCCACAAAATTCTGCAAACAGCTCACCGTTCTCGCTCATTTCGCCGAGACCATGGTGTCCCATGACACGCTCATAGTCCGTGTTGTCGGAGCCGATCTTCGCATTGAAGTCGCCAGTGTAGATCTTGATGTCACCCTTTGGAACCTTATCCACGACGGCATTCAGTTGACTTTTAAAAATTCTCCTTGTCCTATAGCTCGGCAGCATCGGTTGGCGCATAACATTGGATTATGGTAAGGTTACGAACCCGTGTTCTAAATCTGGAAACGATTATCCTCTCATTAACAGGCTCCCACTTGATGAGCGCAGCACTTGCCTGGACGCTAAGTAAGAGACCAACTTCACGATGGCGGGGAGCGTTTTCACCTCGAATACCGGAGTATAGTAGTACCTGTCCCGACGGCAATTTGTGTTCTCCAAAGTTTGGCCAACGAGCTTCACTCAGTCCCAGGATTTCTAGCTTCATACGTCGCGCCTCGTTGGCGAGTTGTGCCAGTTTACCCTGCTGGGCTAACGTCAATACATTCCATGATCCAATTCGTGTCCGTTGTTTTGCGCTAAAAGTCATTGCCGTTAAATCAGTTCGATGTCTTTCTCTGTTGGTTTCTGTAACAATTGTAAAGGTTTCAGAGACAGTAGGTGGCCTAAGGTCTCCTATCCGCCGTCATGGGGCTGCCATCTTAGGTGTAGCTTCTGGGGAAGAGCATTTCTTATTCAGCCGCTGGATGCCAGTCAGACGCTGTTTGAGCCGCACCTCCATGGTGAACAGACGCTCGGGTTGGCGAAGCATTTCCTCTATCACCGTGCTATGGTTACCGCGCCAGTGTTCGCGTCGCACCTCCTCACTCTGCTATTGTCGGATTGACAACATTGCCCAGGCTACGCCAACCAGCTGTGTCACCTGGCAGTCTTTTGTAATCATATGACTCGTGGAGGCTTGAGGTAGGAACTTGTGAGGACCGGAGCTAGGTATATCGCTCCTTCCAGATTGTCACTCACCATTGTGTAGCCCTCTTTCGAAGTGTGCAAAGTAATAACCGACCACCTTTGACTGAATCGTACTTGAGCAATTTGCCACACTACGACTTGAACGTGACCGTCTACAACTTCTCTCGGCAAGATGTTTTTGCTAAGCTGGTTTCTATCGACACTTCGAAAGGAGCAGGTCCAGATCGTCTGTCACCTTTCTTCATCAATCGGTGTGCGGAGTCAATCGCTTTGCCTGTGAGTATACTCTTCAACAGATCTCTTTCGGAGGGCATATTTCCCAACAAATGGAAAACTGCAGCCATCACTCCCATTCATAAAAGTGGTAATGTTAATGACGTCGAAAATTATCGTGCAATTTCGATTTTGAGTTACTTTCCTAAAATCTTGAAGAGTCTTGTCCATGGTTCTTTGTATCGTAACGTTCAACATGTGATATCAGAGAGTCAGCATGGATTTGTCAGGAAGCGGTCAACAACAACCAACCTGATGTGCTGCGTTTCTTCTCTTGTGGACAGCCTTGAAAAGCGACAACAGGTCGATGCAGTTTATGTCGACTTTTCTAAAGCATTCGACAAAGTGCCGCATGCACTGGCAGTGGAAAAACTCAAACGCATGGGATTCCTTCTGTGGCTTACTCAATGGATTGAATCGTACTTGTCTGAGCGTTGGGCTTTTGTACGCCTCGGTGGAACCTCATCTGAAACGTTCTCAATTACTTCCGGGGTTCCCCAAGGAAGTCATTTGGGACCATTACTTTTCGTGCTGTTTGTTAACGATCTGTGCGGACTCATCAGATCACCGAAGTACATGTTCGCTGATGACTTGAAATTCTTCCGCCTGATAACCTCCATGGTCGATTGTTGCGCTCTTCAGATTGATATCGACTCGCTTCTTGAATGGTGCTCATTAAACGGAATGGAAGTGAATATTCGTAAATGTAACATCATCTCGTTCAACCGATCTAGGACAACTGCCATTTTCGATTATAAGATGAACGCTTCAAGAGTCAACCGTGTGTCATCAATCACGGATCTTGGATTAATACTGGACAGTAAGCTGAAATTCACCGAGCACATTGCAACAACCACCGCCAAAGCATATGCGATACTAGGGTTCATCAAGCGCAACACGCAGCCATTTGAGGATGTATACTGTCTAAAAACATTGTATTGTTCGCTAGTGCGTAGCATACTGGAATATGGCGTTCTAGTATGGGCACCGTATCACGTCACGCTTTGCTTTCGCATTGTAAAGATTCAACGTAACTTTGTCCGCTACGCTCTACGACTGTTACCATGGAACGATCCGGTTGTTCTTCTGCCGTACGAGGATCGCTGTGCTTTAATTCGTCTTTCAACATTGGCTGATAGAAGGATTCTTCTGCAACGGCTGTTCATATTCGACTTTCTGGACAACAATGTAGATTGTGCTGAACTTCTAGGGAAAATCCAATTCAATGCACCGGCTAGGCAGACGCGACAAAATGACCTTCTCCGTATTCCTCAGCATCGTACAGTCTACGGTCAAAACAATCCACTGGATGTTTGCTGCCGTCGTTTCAACGAATCGCGTGAAGATTATGATTTTAATATTTCGAAAATCATGTTTAAAAATAGGATTAGTTCTTTAACTAGACAAAAACACATAGACACATTCTGTCTGTGTGTTTTTATTATACGATGACAAGTAAATTAAAATAATTAAATAAATAAATAAATAAATAAATAAAGAAGAAATGTTTTAAACTGAAAAACCTTCACAGAGACGCAGTGAATCTCGTGGATTCTATAGTGGCACATCACGGAGCTGCTCGAGCGGATGCGCACAAACGAGTCGGAGGAAGAGGATAGTGACTCAGGTACAAATTGGAAGCGTAAGCTCGATGGCGCACCGTTCTCAGCTTAGGCCGTACCGGGAGGTTGTCTGGGACTTCCCAAACTTGGTAGTGACGGTACCAAGAGGACTACGATAGAGGAAACTAGTGATAGAAGAGCAGGAGACGACAGATCCGCCGAGGTTAGGGCCCCGAAGGGGGGAAGAAAAAGGAAGCAGCTGGGAACAATGGAGGAGGAACCAAGAAGGTCAAAGAGGGCTAAAAAAGAAAAAAAAGCTCGGAGATTATTACTACGACTAAGGAATTGTATAAATTGAATCTTGAAATGTTTGACAATGGTCAATTTTTTAATATAGAATTTGTTAACTTTCGAAAGGGAAAGAATTGTTGTATACGTGCACATTTCACGAGATACGAAACGTCAATTAACGAAACTATGATTATAATCCTAAAACTGGCAGCACGGTCAGCTGCATAAAAACACATTGAATACATACACGCTAACATAAAAGTACCCATTAAAGAATAAAAAAAGACCCATTTTTAAGAAAAGTGGCTTAACTCATGAAATGAGTACAACAGACTTTACTCATTAATGAGTATACGATGAATACTTATCGCACAGGCCCAGATCCTACCACTTTTCCCTTTTTGGAGTTCTTCGCTAGCCTGAAACAGAACACATTTTCAAATACCGTGTCTTAATTTTCATCATGATTCTAATTCTTACCTCGTATCAACCGGTTCCAAACTCCTATGGCAACGATTTTTGCAATGGTTTCGGTGCATTTTGTTTCCAATGAAACAAACAATACTCCTTTCGGGAATGATCACAACACTCACTTGTTAAAAAAAAAGTTTAACACTCTGGGTCTTCACTTCGTCAGAGATGTGTTGACATTGATTAGTAAGTAAGTTCATTTGACAATGATAGAAGAAATGAACAGGAGTCAAGCCAAAACAAACAGCATGAAAACTGATCGAAAGTGTTTCTTTTGATGTTGACGGGGATCTGCTCGAAGAGAAGACAGAATGCCTTTTAATTGAAAGTGCTGGTTTACAGCTTCATCGTCACTTGATGAATTTCGATTGAAAGTGACTTTGTGGGGCCCTGGCTGCAGCATCATCTTCGAATAATTGAACCATCAATGAAATAATGGCTCCCATTTCACTATAAATAAGATTATTTTAGTTTTTAAGAATGGCTGAAAGTCTTTGAAATAAAGATAAAATACGATATTAATAACACTATCTAAATAAATCCAAATAATGTGACCCAATGACTAGAGGATGAAATTCTTTCAAGCCTTTAAAATCATGCTAAAAGATACCTTGGAAACGTGACCAAAGTCACACCGATCAACGATACCAGTTGCAACCTCGAAACTTTTTCGCAGGAAGCTTTCACCGTCGAGCGAAAGTCTTTCTCTTTCTCCCTCTCTTGCATCAAACGCCCAGCTTGGGTAGCTTTTCGCTTCATTCAACCAAAAGCTCTACTTGCACTACGTGCTACCCATCATCCACATTCGTTCCAGCACCAAAAGCTTACCTGTTGATTTCTCCTCGAAGAAGGTACGCTCGTCGTTGTGCCCGCCGGTTGGATCCATCACAAACTCCAGCACTCCGGTCGCTCCCAGGGTGGGACCGATTTTGAGCTTCAACCCTGGATAGATGATACCCATGTCCCACATGAGCTGCCGCTGGGAAATGACTGCGCCGGCGTTCTCCAAAATCCCTCTGACAGAAATGAAGTGGAAATGGGGGGCAATTGTTAGTCGGTTTTGTCATAAACGGGCGCGGGAGGCAAGTCAAATTGGGGGTGACAATGATGTCGGATGCTGTGTGTGGTTGTGTGTGCGCAATCATTAAAAGGTTTACGGTAATGGAATAATTGTCATTGCATGGCAATGGGAATCGGACGTGTTAATGGAACAAAATTATGTGACATAATTTTGAATAATGAATGCATATTATGAAAAGCTACAACAGTGCTAGGTGCGAGAGAATAATAGCCGTTAATTGAACCGCCAAACTTGACCTATCGTAATGTTGATTCGTTCGGATTCCAATTTCTAGGCAAACAAAGCGCTATTGGATGTACAGCTCGAACAATCACGCGTCAGGTTTTCCCCCACTCACTGCCATGATAGCTTTTTAAAATCTCCAGTATTCCTATAATGATCCATTGGCTTATTAGGAAATTCCGACGCGTTTCAAAATCGAGCTATAATTATATGCGCATTTATAGCCTCAAGTGTTCCGAGCAAAAAAAAAATAGTCTTTTTCCTTTTTAAAATCGTTCTCCCAATTCTAAGAGAATGTAGGTTATTCAAAGCTAAACATCCCATTAAATTGATATTCACGAGAATTTTAGCTGGACTGCTGTAGGCTCATCATTCAATTTTCGCTAAAAAAAACCAATCAGTATTTTGGCTTGTAAGTAGATAATTGCCATTTCATGTACCTCAACGAGCTTCCATCTCATCCCTCTCTCTCTCTGTCTGCTGTCTCGTTTCAAACTTTTATTGAACAAAAAAAAAGAAGCACTGAAAAGTGTGCTAACTCAAAATTGCAAGCTCTTCCTCCTCTAATACCCATCCAGAATCGCCTCCACCACCGAATTACTTCCCCGAAGACCATACAAATTAAATGGTACAAACGGGTAGTTGGAATTCAGCACGGAAGCTTCACTCATTAAATTGGCTCGTGGCTCATGGATGGAAACGCGCAAGAATCCGCTACCACTCTACTCCACTTGAGGTTGCTCTTTCTATGCTGGTTGGTTGGTTGGTTGGTTGCACGATTGTTTGTTTACAGTAGTTAGTGGGTTGGATCCTACATATCTACGAAGTTGGGATTTGCGGTCGCACGTCTTCGCTTGGTTGTTGTATTTTTTTTTTGTTCGACTCCAGAGATGGTCAACGAAAGAGGAAACAGTTTGAACGCTTGCTGTCCGTGCGGTCGATGTTATTGTTCTCAATTGAATTAGTGAAAATCAATTTGGATAGCTTTCGAATTAATTGGTAAAGTGCTGCACTGGGTAGATACGGTGAACGTGGAATTGAGTGATTTTATTCACTGCGGCTGAAGAGTTTACTTCTTTCGATTTGGGTTCAGGATATTTTAGAAATGTCCGGAAAATCAGCTTGGGATACTGATGGTTAGTTTTGATATTTAAATTTCAAGGAGTTTAAAATAATCCTCAGAGTTTCCATTGCAGATATATTCTACAAGACTTCTCTAATGAAACCCATCGGAATTACCCACAATTCCATTGAAAAAATATTACAAGACCTCCATATAAATGTTGACTATAATTCCAGGAGAATTGCGAATCTGAAGATCCAAACAGAAGCAAAGCCATATTCAACACTTAACTAACCAAAAGGCCAAAAATAATACATTGATTGTTTCCTATTATGTTTATTTGGTAGACTCAATGTCTCTGAGAGATATACGGCACTACTATTTTTTTATTATTTTAAATGCGTTCAACGTTAACATGCTGTTTACTTCAGTTGGGCTGTACTCAGTTTAGTAGTTCAGTTGAGTTTCAGGCTTTTGGACTTCGTTTTCGGTCTCTTGCCCCTGGGTCACCACCAGCGTTGCCAGGTCATTTTTAGGAAAATCTGGACCAGTTAAAATATAAAATCTGGAAAAATCTGGAATACTTAAAAAAAATCCAGTTTTTAACATAATGCTATTGAAATCAAAGTGTTGGGTAAATGTCCTGTAAAAATCGGTCAGTATGATCATGTGGAATTTATTTAAAGTACTAGAATGGTTATGAATTACATGTTTACTTAATTTATATAAAGCAAATATCTTGTTAGCATTGCTGTAATCATTCAAAAGTGCAAAAGAATTGACACAGTGTGCCCAAAAAGTTTAAATGTCCATTACACAGCATTTCAAAAATGGAGTCGAATGTGGGTAAAATACTGCAGAAAATATGTTTAGAGTTGTTTTTTAAACTGTAACTTTTTTAAAAAGAATGAGAAACAAAGAATCAAGCAAATTTGATGGCATGGATTTTTTAAAACTTATAATCGATGTAATCCTTACGATTTGATGCAGTACCAGAATTTAAAGTTTTTATTAGTTCTAAATTTACCTTAAAATTACCCTGAGGTTGATCAGATTTACAATTTAATTATTGACATTATACAACACACAACACCCAGTAGGCCAAGAGGGAATCAAAGTCTAACATCGTGGCACTCACACACAGTTTCCGCAAACTAAGGGTAACTCCACTCCACTTCGCATGACCATTGGGAATAATTTTATGCCAAAGGAAAATTTTATTATACTACTAAAATAAAAGTCTGATAGCTTCATTTTGAAGTCTCAGGATCTTGAAATGATTCTATGTTCCGGGGTTTATATTTTTCCTGGGTCCCAGATCTTGAAATGTTTTGTGAGTCTGAATTTGTTTAGAATTCTTCACAGGAAATGTTCACCCTTTTCTTTAGTTCCATTTGAATCATCCTAGAATTTCATCAAACTTTTTTTTCTATATTCCCCTAAAATAATCTTGATAATATCCAAGCTTTTCCAGCAACATTATGAGATTTCTTAGCATTACCTCTTGTAATCTCTTATAAATCACTCTCTAATTCCACGATTCCCTCAAACTGGTAATAATTCCCAAGAATTGGCAGAATTTTGTGTCTATTTTTCTCTATGAAATTCTGGACAAAAATTTATAATAATTTCCTTGGTACACTATTCAGAATAACCATCACGCTCTTCTCAGACTTATCCGATAATTCCCTTTGAACTGCTTTGTAGGTAAGGTTAGAATTGTTTTGAAATCCTCTCAGTATTTCCTAATTACTCAAGTACTTTGCCAAAATGGTTTTGAAAGTTTCCCAGAAAAAGTCTTAAAATTTTATTAAAATGAATCTCGATAGAAACATTGGACAGAATTCCATTGAAATTATTCTCACGATTCATATCAGCATACTCCTTAAGTTTCATCATAAATTTTTTTATGATTTCTCTTCTGGATTGTATTTCCTTTATCCACAAAATCTTCATACAACTGTCATCAGAGTTGACAAGACAATTGACACCGTCTTCAACCAGAGGTTGCACATACTGAATATTTTACACTAGACAACGGACAACACATTACACCCAGTAGACCAGTAGGGAAATTTTCAGGTAGTCAAAATTTGCACCGGCTGGAGCTGGAATAGAATCCTCACTTCGTGGTAGTCACAATACGCCTGAACGACGGGTGATGTCGCACGACCACGAAGCCCACAAAGATGGATGGAACCCTACTCAGAAATAGCATGACATTCTCATTTGATTTCACAAGGAATGCGCCTTACACTTCACTGTGAACTATTTTCAGAATTACATTAAAGTTCCAATAATGTCCAACGTTGATGGACTTGAATAATAAAAGTAGCAAGTTTGGCTTTCTATTTTTTTTATTAGATCGTAAATCAATTGCATATTTTTGAAGCAACATGTTTAAAAAAATCTGGGAAAGTCTGGAACATATTTAAAAAATCTGGAAATATACGCGATCTGTCTGTGTATCTGGCAAGCAGCGTTGCCATATATACCGATTTCCGAACTAGATACCGATATACAGATAAGGTTCCTCAGAATACCGATATTTGAGGTTTTATACCGATTCATACCGATTTTATCAAATAATCAAAATGATTATTGCCAGCCTGCGCTCGAATTTCGAAGAAATTTATTGTGAGAGAGTTGTATCTTTTTGAGCACCTAAAATTTTTTCAGCTTTTAAAAAAAATCATCTTTAAAAATGTCTCTTGTGAATCGCAAATTGCGATTAATGTTTCAATTTCCTCACCATTTTTGGCTACCCATGAATCGATAAACATGGCTATTTCTGGTAATTTCGGGGGAATCGGGAAATACTTTTTAAATATTATTTAACTCTATGAATTTTTGTCTAGCTTACATCGTAAATTATTTTACGATTCATCTCGGAAACTTATTTCGGCTACCCTTGGAAGTTTCTTCAACCTTCGCTCGAATGATTCTTCCATCTTTTCCCGTAAGTTTTTTCAACTTTCCCAGAACTTCAGAGATGCTTCCAGGTTTTGATTGCGGATCCACACTAACTGCAGGAACTTTTAAGAAGTTCTGAAAAGACTTTTGAGTAAGTTTCGATAAATTGAAGAATGTTTCAATAACTTCTGTTAAAATTCTAAAACCCGGTCCAGCGAACTCCAGTGAACTTAAGGAAAAATCATAAATATTTTGGATACTGCACAAGTCCAAAGAACTTCTGAAAAACTTAATGGTTTTCAAGACAGTTGCATTCGTTTCAGGAGAATTGTGAGAACTTTATGAAGCTCGGAGAACATCAGGACAGATCAATAAATTTCAAGGAAATCGCTGAAGTTTTTAAAGGAGTTCAGAGAAACTCAGGCAATTTCCGAAAACTTCAGCAATGTTCCGAGGGGCTCATGCAAATTTATGAAACGTAAGGGAAGTTACAAGGACACTAGTTTATTATGATTACTTTTAAAAATTAGAAAATCGGGAAGATCAGAGAACTTCAAAACTGATGTTACAATAATTTCAAGAAAATTGTGAGAGCGCTTAAGAAATTTCTTAATCTTCAAGAAAGTCTAGAGACCTTTAAAGTTGATTAAAGATATTCCGGTAGTCTCATTATAATCAAGAAAGTTCCAAGTATTTCAAAGATGATCAGAGTACTCCAAAACAGCCCAAGAAAACAT